AATTAGCAATACCCTACCATAAATCTCCATAGTATTAGCTAAAATGCCAATCCTGTAATCACTTTCCATTAAAGCCAAAAGTACTAATTAAAATTGACTTTCCCTTCCCTTTCTATGTTTTGGTAAACTGCTTTCAGTTTTGAGATAAAGCCATAAGAAGGAAGACCTTTCCCTGAGTAGACTGTATAATCTCTCTCCTGCTATAAAGATAACAATGCATGAAATGAGAATGAGCATTTAGGAACAGAAACTGATATGCACACAATATGAGGACAGGAGCATGTGGGTATGGAAATAATAAGAAAATATGTCCTCATTAAAACCACAGCTCTAACTATAAAGAAAGCTCACAGGCAGGGTGGCATTCTACTGACTCAGACCAGTTTGGTAGAAACGGTTGTTACAATTCCCAGTAGTTTGGAGAACCATTAAAACAGGTCCCTGGCTAGCCCTGTCCCTCTCTGCCCACTTCTCCACTCTCTACCCAATCAGTCCTTATCACGCATGTGCAACATCACGCGCATGCGCGATAAGCTGACTGCATTCTAACCCTGCCCACCAGGCCCCCCCTTACCTCGGCCATGCAACATTGCTGCCTGCAGTCTGCCTTCACCCACCTGCCAGCCATCGTTGTCTGCCTTCCACCATGATCTCCCTATGTGAGTGAGGTTTTGCAAGCCCCAGTCGCCTATATGCCGCTGTTGCTACCAGCCCCAGTAGAGTCCCGATTCCTGGGCCAGCCCAGGCTGCCACCACTGCACTGCTGCTGCTGCCCTCGCCCTTGCCACCACTGCCACCACGCCCTGGTGGAGTCCTGGCTGCCCCCACTGCCGTGCCACTGCTGCCTTCAGTGCTCATTGCCTAGCTAGCTTTCCCCCCACAACAGTCCCTGTCTGGCTTGCTTAGCTGTCAGTGTCACCAATGAGGTACTCGCGGCCTAGCGAGGTTTCCCAACCCACCCCACTTGCTTGGCTTGCTTAGCTGCCAGTGCTGCCCATGTGGCACTTGTGGCCTAGCAAGGTTTCCCCACCACCACCCCACTTGCTGGCTTGCTTAGCTACCAGTGCCTCCCAGTCGGGATGTCGGCAGTGTGGGTGCTTGAGGGAGGGGAGGATGTTCCACCCCTGGCCTCTTTGTTGGGCTTGGAAGCCTTGCCTGCCAGCTTTTCCAGGCAATGGGGGACCGGGTGCGAACAGACAATCCCTGGGATTCTAGGAGACTGGTTGGGAAGGACGTAAGTTAACGAGCGACGTTGGAATTGTGTGTGTGTGTGTGTGTGTGTGTGTGTGTGTGTGTGTGTTTCAGGTGGGTCTCCTAGCTTTAGAAGGAGAGAGGGAAGGAGAAAGGGAAGGGGCAAAGAAAGAGAAAAGAGAGAGGGGAGAGAGAGAGAAAGAGGGAGAGGGAGAGAGAGAGAGAGAAAGAAAGACAAAGAGGGAAAGAGAGGGGAAGACAGAGAGAGAGGGGAAAAGAGAGAGAGAGAGGAAGAGGTAGAGAAAGAGAGAAGGAAAGAGGGGGGAGAGAGGAAGAGAGAGGAAGAGAGGGAAAGAGAGAGGGAAAGAGAAGAGACAAGAAAGAAAAGAAAGAAAAAGGGAAAGAAAGAAAAGGGGAGAGAGAAAGGAAGAGAAAGGGAAAAAAGGGATAGACAAAGAAAGAGGTGTGATGGAAGGAACAGAAAGAAAGAGAAGGAAGGAAGGAAGGAGGAAGGAAGGAAGGAAGGAAGGAAGGAAGGAAGGAAGGAAGGAAGG